ATGATTAATCTCGTGCTGTGTGGGTTTACTTGTTACTTGAAAAAAGTGAAGTAGCACATATTATTGAGAACTTTTGTGCCATGGCAGAACGTCAATTTGGCAAGCAAGTCAGGACTGTTCGAAGTGATAATGAAACAAAATTTAAAAGCTTGAAATCATACTTTGAGACTCATGGCATTCTTCATCAAACTTCGTGTGTTGAGACACCTCAACAAAATGGTCGGGTGGAGAGAAAACACAGGCATATTTTGAATGTTGCGAGAGCATTGAGATTTCAAGCTGGTTTGCCCATTTGTTTTTGGGGGGAGTGTGTCTTAACCGCCGGATACTTAATAAACAGGACACATTTTTCTGTACTTGGCGGGAAGACTCTGTATGAGGTACTGTTTGGGATGCCACCTCAATATGAGCAAATGGGAATATTTGGCTGTCTTTGCTATGCTCATTGGAGTCCTCGAGACAATGATAAGTTCGGAGAGAGGAGTAGGAAGTGTGTTTTTGTAGGTTATCCCTGCGGAAAGAAAGGTTGGCACGTATATGATGTTGAAAGAAGTGAATATTTTGTCTCCCGTGATGTAGTCTTCCATGAAAATGTATTTCCATATGCCGCTAATTTAGAAGTAACTTTGGAAAACAACCCTGGCCCAGCCATTGCACCAGTTGATGCCGTGGTTGATGATGATGATTTTCACAACCATAGAGGAAATAAAGACAGGGGGAGTGACGAAGACGATATTTGTGTGAATGATAGGGGGAGCCTTGAAAATAATGATGATGGAAAAGAGGAGGAGGAAGGAGATGGAGGGGGTGTGCAGGAAGTGGAAATTAATGGTGATGAGGACAAAATTAGTGTGGATCCAACACCACAAACAACACCAGAGGAGCAACTTGGCAGGGGACATCGACATCGCATGCCGTCTGTTTTGTTAAAGCCCAACATGACCTACACTGCTCGATGTTTGAAAGACCCCATTCACACAAGCCAACTATTGTTAGACAGTTTTGTATGCCCTTAGCTTCAATCATTTTGATGTACTTTTGTTATTTAGTGGAAATAAATAAAGTGCATGTTTGATTCATGTTGTTTGGTTTAATTCTGTGTAAAACCCTAAA